CTGGAAAATAGATGAGTATTTGCATTAGGAACCTGATGTGTGGGGTTTTTAGAGCCCCTCTTTGAGGGGGTTACGATACGATAACAAATTGTGTGGGGTCAGGCACGTTGGCACAATGCTGCAGCTGAATACGCGGTGTCTGTGCTTGGACGTATGTAAGAGCAGAATGAGAGGTTGCAGTGACTGAAGGTTCAGAAGGCTGATGAAACAGTTTTAAACCAGCTTTAAACTTTATAACAAAACTTCACTAGCTTGATATTCATCAATAATACACGTTGCTAATGGCTAGTTCTTACTCATTCCTAGTCATTGCCACTGCGTATTCAAAGCAATTAGTCTGTAACAATCATTATAAGTTAATTGTGAGCACACAGTTCCATAGAGCTGGTGCCACCTATTTAGCATTGATAGCTCTGGTCCTTGATGGCAAAATGTTCGAGGCTGTCACAGGTGATTTTTCTTGTTGCTTAGCAGTTTTATTTCTTCTTTTCAGCTTTTGCTGCTGTTGAAAGAAAAGCAGGGTTTTTTTTCCAAAATCTCAAGGTTGCACTTCATCTGTGACTAATAATTGACCATCACTGAGTTGCTCACAGTTCTGGGGCCTCTGCTATCAACTTGCACCCACGTTTTCAAGGCCTTTGTTCTCATATCTAAGCTGTGTGCCGTAACAAGAGGCAGCTGATAACTAGCTCTAGCTCACATGACAAGTTCTCCTAATAATTTCATAAGCATAAGGCCAGAATTTGAGCCTTGCACATTTGGCACAGAAACACAGTTGGTGTAAGCTCTGAGGCCTGTTCCTGGTGGTGGCAGTACTGTTTTTACTGAGCCACTTGGTACAAAATTGTATATATACATTGTTTACTAGTCATGCTGTATAAGTTTGCTGATGTTTGAGTTCATAGCAAACTAATAATTAAATACTACTCAATCTGCTGCTATTTTTGTGGGTGCAGCAGCTTCTGCTTTGGCTACAGAGAGTTAAGGCGTTATAACTGTGAAGCTGGCAGTGAACAGTGCGTTCAGCTGATGAACAGTCCAATCCTGACTGTCCTGAGGTTAGTGCTGTTCCAAGTTTACCCTGAGTAAGTACCATTTCTTATGGAGGTACAGACTGGACAGAACATCAAGCTTTGTATACATATATACCTATAAATAAACTTTGCTTAATCTCTTGTAGATTATTAATTCTTCTTTTTAACAAGTGAAGAGGAATACATGGATATGCATCACCAAAATCAATTCACATGAGGATTAACTGTTTGTACTCTAAGCATTTAAAAAAAAAAGGGGGGGGGGGAGTAAAGGCTTAAAATGCTGAGCAATGTGTGGTTGTGGTTTGCATCCCTGATGTATGGATCACTTTAGCATTGGGATACTTTCCAGATATCATTCTAAATAGTGCAAGGGTTTGGGTTAGGTTTTTTGGGGTTTTTTTTTTTGTGATGACATAGGCATGGTAATGTTATCCTCTGTAACTAATGAATTGACCAGCTGTTCAACAAGATTACATTAAATATAGAACAGAAAAAATGTGTTTTTAATGAAGCTGATTGAAATACTAAAAGTACTAAGACTATTAAAAGTGTTATGCCTATTGAAATGGGTTTAAGGTTAGCCCTTTCCCAAAGAAATATGCTAATCGTTTTGTTTAAGGGTCGAGGCAGGTCTGGTTTAAGTTGTGGCATCACAAAGGGTGTAACTGCTCTGTTTAAAAAGCAAAACAAAACACCAGTGTGTTGGTTCAGTTGTGGTGATCTTTTGGCTGGTTAGAGTTGAATTTAAGGAAGAACATAACAAAGCTGTTCTTTATTAAAGGTTTTCTTGCCTTGTATATCTTTTCACTTTCACCCTGTTTTTCACACTTGGTGTTTAGTTTTGGTACATTGGATACTCTCAGTAAATCAGGAGACATATCTTCCTAACGGTTTCACAAACAACTTCACAACTATGACATATCCAGTTTCCAGAGGGGTGCTGGAATTATTTCAAGAGTTGTCTTAGAGTGAGACCACTTCTTTCCAAAGCTTAGAAGAAGAAGAAGAAAAAAAAGAAAGCCTATCATTCTTTAGAAGCATGTACAAATCTGTGTTTCAGTATGACTCCTATCATGCATTTTGGAGATGAGACTAGGAAAAGGCCTTAATAGTTAACAGGATCAGCTCTTTTGAGAACATAAGGCAAGGGGGAGAATAAGGGAAATATTCTACCATCTTACATTTGGGAATGGCTTACTCTGTACGGGCAGAGGGATAACTAGTCAGCAGGCACTATCCATGAGTGATTACAGTAGACAAATGTGTGTTTGTACCTTCAACTGTTGCTCACTTCAGTTATTAATGTTCTGTCGAAACAAAAATACCACAGAGACATTTTTGTGCTGCTGTCTTCACACATTCCACATAACCCTTCGGTATATTCTGCCCACTGTCCACGTGGATACGAGTCATTATAGGTACGTGGTAATCGTTAACTGTGGAATAGTTGTGTTGCCATCCTTAACATCTGTCAAATCCAGGATTAAACATACACCAGAGTCAGTGCTGGTGTGCATCCGGCCATGGAAGCGGTGGGAAGCATGGAGATTCTTCTCCTGTGCACTTTACAAACCTCTGGGGCCACCAGCAGTGCTGTAAAGTTAATTAGTTAAGTACATGTTGTTGAGCATTCATCAAGTTGCTAGCCACCGAAATTGCTTAATTGGCAGTAAAAATAGGGCTGGTTTGTGGTGTTTGGGGTTTTGGGTTTTTGCTTTTGCTTTTAGCACTTGAAGCAGTGGGGGGCATTCTTCCATCTGTCAGTTAATTTTAATTCTTTCCTATGGCAAAACTTAATATTTTCTCTCTACCTTCTTACAGTTTTTGAGTAGATTTAATGCTTTTTTTTCCTGTTGATAAACAGACTAGAAAAGGCAACAGCTGTATGCAAGATCGTTCTCATAGCTTAGACATACACTGTTTTTTTTGTAACCGTCCTTATTTCTGTTCTAGAACTTTAAAAACAAGACTCTGAAATACTTTCATTTTTTAATTGCTGTTTTTAATGTTAACTATGATGATTTACATGATTTTTTTCTTAAACAACTAGTCATGAAAAATCGTTAGCACTTGTCTGGTAAAACATGGTGGTGATAAGTTTACTTTCTTAGTCAGTCTTTTCTACTTCACAAACAACCGATAATTGGGGAAGAAATATTGACTGTTATAACCACAGATCTTAGAGCTGTAGAGGATGCTGTCAATTCTTACTTGAAATTAAGTCACTGAGGGAGTTAATCTTGAATATTTCATATTTCTTTTTAAAGTTGTGAAGTTGTTTTGTACTATGGAATTTTCTATATTTTATCACACCAGATATTGCAAGAGAATAGCAAAACATTCAGTTTTTAATGAAATAACAATACTTTTTAGTCAGCCCAAGAGTGTCCCAAGGCTATAGTTAAATGAACTGAAAAAAGTGAAACTTCCCCTTGCCATTTCTTTAAAAATTAACTTAAGTTTATGGAGAGCAGCATTAAACCAGAGTCCTTCATTTTCTCTGTTGAGACCATTCATTGTCTTTATTGAGATATTTTAAGTGTGGGAAAAGTCAGCTTGAGGGCTTTATAGTCTTTTTTCACTGTGCTTGCCATTCATTTTTCTGTACCATCCCTCCTTAAGTGGAAGATGGCTGCAAATTGTTCTTTTAGCAGCCTAAATGCATGGCCCGGTCGCTGCCTTCTCTGCTTTTAGTTTATTTACTGTGTGACACACATTCACTTCTGCAATTGATAATAATCAACAATGCTAAATGCACACATAAGACATGTTTGGTGGGAGATAAGTGGTCCAAAGGTATTTCTGTCCCTCTGCAGAAATGCTGGTTCAACTAAAAGCAAAAGATCAGAAGATCTGAAGGGGATTTTAACAGGGAGCACTGCTAGCAGGCATCTGTGTAATTATCCTATTAAACAGAGTAACATCTGCATTATCTGTGCAAGTGCAGAATGGAGAGGAACATTACCTTCTCTAATCCTGTCTGGGAGCTTTATGAAGTTAAAAGGATAACATTTTACCAAATCTATGTTTTAAGATGATAGGTTACACTTAATTACCTTTTAATTACCTTTCTTCTTGTTGGGTTTTATGCTAAGGACCCTGCCTGCAGCCTTCATCACAGATCTTTCCTTGCCTTTGGATTGTTTATGCCAGGTTTGGTCTTTGAGTGTACCATGAAAAGATGATCCTACCATTGTCTTGAAGGCTATTGTTATAATTCTTTCTCCCTAGTGTGTGAAAAGCTCCAGGAATATTAATTTTATATACAAAAGACATGTTGTAGCATTCAGAAGTATGCGTTTTGAATTTGGTTGCAAAGAGCAAACTCATTAGACTGTGTGTTATGAATAAGAAGTAACTATGCATGGCAGGGGCCACACAGGAGCAAGAGGAGATTATTCCAGCCTTCTGACTGCTTGCAGTGTAAGTGAGGAGTGTATTGGCTTAAATAATGTAGATTTCTCTTTTCCTCTTTGCCCCTGAGGGAGTCTGATTTCCTGATCACCTATCTAGCCATATGCCGTAGCTCTTGCCAGGAACTCTGAGCAGTGTCACTGCCAGCTAAAATTACTTGTTTTCTGAGGACTGAATTATGTTGAGAATTATCTTCAATTGCTGCATTGGCAACATCGCAAAGTTTTGTGTACATACACAATAAAAATATATAAAAATAGCCTTACCTTGAAATTCAGCTTAGAAACTGCTTTAGACATTGAATTTGATCCAGATACTAAGAGGTGTCCTACACCTGCTCAGGCACATCGCTCCCCTTTGTTCTCTTTCCAGTGCTTTTCTCAGCTTCTTTGTGCTCTGTACGGTACAATGTTGATACACGCAAATTAAACATTTGCAAAGCATACTGTCTACTCCTGTTCTTTACCAGTTAGAGCAAAGACCTAGTACTACTACTAAAAACTTCTAACACATTGTGCTAACTATGCTTTTTTTCTTTCTTCTTGCAACAGGATGGAACTGAAATACAGATACGTGTTGACTAAGGAGTTGGAGTAAGACTGAGTCCTGCTCTGTGATATTTATATACCTGGACCATGAACTTGCTGTTTGGTTTTATGCTTTAGGAACCTTTGTAGTAACTGTGTGAAGCTGTTGGGAATCATGGCATTCTCTCCATGGAAACTGTCCTCTCAGAAACTCGGCTTTTTTCTGGTGACTTTTGGTTTCATTTGGGGAATGATGCTTCTGCATTTTACTATTCAGCAGCAAACACAACACGAAAGCAGTTCAGTCCTGCGTGAGCAAATTTTGGATCTCAGCAAAAGATACATCAAAGCATTAGCTGAAGAAAATAAAAACGTGGTTGATGGGCCTTATGTTGGGACAGTGACAGCATATGGTAAGTGTGCTCTAGATTATATGATAATCTGATTAATGTTTTTTCTAGGTTGTGCAAACATTTTACTTCATAATGCTGCTCAATTGACAGTATTTTGCACTGTGAATTTTCTGCACAGGTGAAGAAAGCGATTTTCACTTGTAAAATTTGTCCCATTTCATACTTAACATTTCCAGTCATTTGGAAATGAAGTTGTTTGCTAACTTTCACTGCATCTGTGTAGTAGCTATATCTCGTGTGCCTCAGGTTATTTGTTAGAACTTCATTTTTAAAAAACTTTATTGCTGTTTTTGAGAAACTTGGGAGGCTTTTCAGTTTGTGTGTCAGTGATCTAAGAAATTCCTTGTGGAAGAAGAATTTGCCTTACTGATAAAATGGAGACCTGCTATGTTTATTTCTTCTTCTTTCCCATTTCACTTCTTTGTTCAGTCAATTTACGTAATGTTTAAGTTTATGTATCTGGCATAAGCTTAAATTAAGCTTAAATAGATGATATTTGCCTTAGGGTAGAGAACTGTTTTTGTGAGTTTCAGTGCTTTGTTCAGCAGTAAGTTTTAATGCTTACTGTTTTACAGTGTTGAAAGTTAGGTTTGTGTGCATGTGTGAGATAAAGCATGCAGGAAAGAACAAAACATATTACCAGAAAATATTATGAAAATAAAAATATAATCCAATTTCAGGTTAGGCGTGGCCCCTTTTCAATCTGATAAGATCACATTAGACACTTTACTCGTTTAGGAATTTTATTTTTTTTTTAACTCACTTTCTTTCCTACTTACCTTTGCACTTTCAGGCTATCTGGGAAGTTAATGTCTAATTAGTCATCTTGATTTGTTTCCTTTTATAATTGCCTTAATGTTCAGATCTGAAGAAACTGGGCAGATGGTTTTTGTAGGCTTAGACAAAGAATAAAGAGTAGGATGCAAGCAACAGATAATAGCTGGACCATTTTCTCTGTTTTTCTCTTAATATTCTTTAGGTTTTGGTGCATGTTGTGAAAATATCCTGCTGGGAAGCTCTCCATGTCTTGTTTCCATTACCATTTTTTTCCTCTAAAAAATAATTTTGGAGTTCATGTGAAGGTGCTTGTCTGCAAGCCTGAGGTTATCATCCCAAACAGCTCACAGTTACTGCTTTGTTGCTTAAATAACAAGACATCCTTATTCTGTAACTTCTACTCATTTGTGGCTGCATGTTGTACTGGACTCGTATGGTAATCTTCAAAGCAGCACAAGCTGAATAGAGTGTGCTGGATCAATATTTAGATTGTTGACCTCCAAGCAAGTGGAGCTCCCTAGAGAATTGTGTGCATGGGCTTAAAACAAAACCCTCTCTGCTATATAGCCATCATCAGTGTCCCATTATCTTGCAAGGGTGCTTGATGGTGGGTGAATTGAAGAAGAAAAAAACCCTAAAACCCAAAAAACCAATGTGTCTTCAGAACTTGAAGGGTGACTGCAGTAATCTGTGCTCTAGCTAGGTCTGAGAGTAGAGGATATCCTTAAGCCAAGATCCCCCTGCAGCTTGTTGCCTGTGGCTTTCATTTCCTGTTCCAAATCCCACTGAGGAATAAGTTGACTTGCTGACAAACAGTGATCGAGTTCCCCAGGAGAAGTTAAACTGCATTTGAAAGTGGGTGAAATAATTTTGTAACGGTTCTGTAAAGGTAAAGCTAAGTTTTGCACAGAAATATCAAGTTCCATGGCTAAAAAGAATTCTCAGTTTAAAGGCAAGTTGGGACAGGTGTTTTCAGTTAAGGAGTTTGGAAGGATGCAAAATAGTGGCAATATTTTTATTTAAAATATTAGAGGGAAAGGTGCTGCGATGAGTGAATAACACCGTATGTAATAAAACTTTATGAAACTGAATAAGATAATAATGACTTAAGTAAGTTAGTTCGCCCTGTTTGGCATATTTGTTGATAGCAAATGACCAGGTTAGCTGTTCAGGAATAAACATATTAATGACTAATGTTAATGGGTAGAAGTTGGTTCACTCTTCTATAAAAGTTAACTCCCTTGCTCTTTAGCCTTTTTATTTCTTTTAATCTTATCCTCTGATTCCTATTAGCGAGCACAGTCATGATTTCCATGTTCAAGAATAAGGTTTAAGTTTGCTTGATTTGGCTGCTTTTACCCACCCAAAAGATTTTTAGTCATTGCTTAATTGTGATTGCAGAGCTTGTTCACTTTCTCACTTTTTCCGTGTACCACGTCTTGACCTGTTGGTAGGTGGATCACACACTTTCCTTTTAAAAGTTGTAGTCCAAATATACACGCAGAGTATTAGATTTTTATAGCAGTAAACAGTTGTTTTACAAAAATTATTATGAATCTCTGCTTCTGCTCTCTCCTTCTCAAACTAGCCTCCAATTGCTTTTGTGTTTTGGCACCAATATTAAAAAGTTACAATGCGTAGCCATTTTTCTCTTTATGATCTGTGTCTGCGTTTATGTGGGGTATCTTTCTTCCTCATTGTTTCCTGAATTTTTTTAATTATTTTTTCTACATTTTTTTCCTCCTTCTGTACCATGGTTTTGTTCATGTTAAATCCCTGCTCCACT